CTTGTGTGGAGGCTGTAAAAGTTGGAGAACTTAATGTGTACAGAAACTACTCTCAGGGAGAGTCTGCAGATCTGATTTTATTGCTGGAGCAAGCCAGAAAAGGGAAGCAGGGAATACCCACTCTCCTGTTTGACCAAGTAAAAGTCTCATACTTTCCTAGCAGGGGAAACTTCTGGTCTAAAGTTTTCACTGAACAAGCCAGGGAAGAAGGTGCAGGGAGTGCCTACTTTTTTTTTTTTAGGTATGGAAAGATCTCCCTGCCTCCTTCCAGTTAGAGATTGTAGGAGTTTATTTCTAGAGTAAGCCAGGGGAGATGTGGGAGTGTCATTCCTTCCTATTCTTGCTGGCAGAAGCTTCAACTTCTTTCCATAGAGAGATTACAGAGCTGGGATTATTGCTGGAACAAGTGGGAGAAAAGACGTGCAGGGAGTTCCCACTCTTCTGTTAAAGCCAGAAGTCTCAGATCTTTCTTGCTTAGGGAGCCTTCTGGTCTGGAGTTATCACTGATACCAGTCAAGGAAGAAGATACAGGAATATCCCTTTTTTTCTTTCAGGAATGGAGAGGTTTCCCCAGCCTCACCCTAATGAGAGATTGCAGGAATTTATCTCAGGAACAACTAGGGAAGGAGGTGTGGTGAGAGAATGATACTGTCCCTTGTGTTCTTACCAGCAGAGACCTCCAACTACTTTCCAGGGAAAAAATATGGGAGTGGAATTGTCACTGAAGCAAGCTGGGGAAGAAGATGCAGGGAGTACTATCTTTCCTGTTCAGGCTTGAAGAGTTTTTTTCTTTATTTACTATATGGGCCTGCAGATACTGGCTTGTTAGAGACAAGAACCACATTGAACTGCTAGGAAAGCCAAACCCTTTCCAGGGGGAGATTAGAAGCTAGTCTGATTCTAGGTCCTACAACAGCTGGTAGTTCTGGTGCGCTGTGAAACCTCCCTTTGTTTTGTGTACTTGAGGGAAATCCTTCAATGCCCTGTCCCTGCTGTTTCACAGGTGTGGTGATTTAAGAGTCAAGCCTTTCAACAGGGAGAGTAAAAGTTGGGAACATGCTGGATGTTTGGATTTCTTTCCCAATTATAAGGTGCTGGGCTCAGGGTAGGGTTAGTGCATGAATTTATCTCTGCTTTTCCTGTGCATTTTGATGTGAATATTTTCCCAGTTATTCAGTGTGCAGGAGTCTTTCAACTGAATTCTGGCTTTCTTTTGGAGAGAACTGATCTATGTGTAGTTGTTTGCTTTATGTATCTGGTAGAAAGGATAGTTAGGAGCCTCCTATTCCACTATGTTGCTGAGGTCTCCACAATGTGATTTTAATTTCCATTTTCCTAGTGGCTAATGATGTGAAATGACTTACTTGATATCTGTGTACCTTCTTTGGTAAAATGTGTCTTCATGTCTTTTGCCTACATTCAAATCATATATTTTGCTTTTACATTGTTGAGGTTTGGGGGGTTTTTTGTTTGTTTGTTTTTTTGGTATGGTCTATATACTAGTCTCAGGTAAGTGTTTTGCAAATTTCTCACCCAAGCTTGTCTCTTCATCTTCTTAGCAGGATTGTTCACAGTATAAAAGTTTTTAATCTTGACAACAACAGTTTATCAATTTTTCCTGTTATGGATCATACTTTTATATCAAGTTTAAGAATTCTTGGTCTATCCTTTGAAAACTTCCTATGTTTTATAGTTTTACATTTATTTTATTTCTTATTATTTAATTTGTGTCAAGGTTTCACTTTTGCCCAGGCTGGAGTACAGTGGCACTCTCACTGCTCACCACAACCTCGACTTCCTAGGCTTAGGAGATCTTTCTGGCTCAGCCTCCCTTCTGACTTGGACTACAGGCATGTGCCACCACACCTAGCTAATTTTTTTATTTTTGTTTTTTTGTTGAGATAAGGTCTTGCTATGTTGCCCAGGTTGGTCTCAAACTTCTGAGCTCAAGCATTCCTCCTGCCTTAGCCTCCCAAAGTACTGAGATTACTGACGTGTGCCACCATGCCTGGCTGATTTTACATTTTAATTTAAGTCTATGATCCGTTTTGAAATAATCTTTGTATAAGGGATGAGATTTAGGTCAATATTTATTTATTTATTGCCTATGGATATCCAGTTGCTTCAACATCAATTGTTTAAAATCTTTCATATGATAGTGTATGATATTGGCCAGTTGAATTGCCTGCCTAATTCTTTCTTTATCTTGAAAGTGTGGGTGCTGGCCTAAGACTAGATAGATATTATTTAAGTTGCATTTGTAGAAGTTTTGGGGTACCAGGAAGCCTCAGTAACAGCAGCAGTGGGGGTAAGGAGTATGTAGGGTTCTCATGGGCTCCTTGACTTTATCCAGGGCAGTGCTACATTTTATGTTCTTGTGATTGTAGCTAATATGTGGTTTGAAACAAGATTCTCAGTACTAAAATAAGTTTGGAGACCATTGGGTTTGATAATTTCTGAAGTACCTTTCTGTAGTAAATTACTATGACTCTAAGTATGCAGTGTCAGAACTCACTTTTCACCTTACATTTTAGACTTCAGGCTCTTCTCTTAGTTTCTTGAAGGGTTATTTATATGAAACTTTTTCCTTAGTATCCTATTGTTTCTCTTTATAAATATGATAGGTTTTATGAAATCAGTGAACTTGCACTTCCTGAATCAGTTTATAAACTATGTGTCAGAAATTGAATTTTGCGGTAGAATCATCCATCTCACATAATTATCATGGCTGGAAGATAGGATAAGGAAATAAAATTTCACATAAACTAAGAATCAATCACAGCCTTTGTAAATAGCTAACTCTCTCTAATCCATCTGTCCAGCTTTTGCCAGTTCTCAAAGCATTAACAACAGTATTTACCAGTTCATGAAGAGTTATTTGCAACAGTTTTTTTTTTTTAGATAAACAAGGCAGTCCTATTTTTTTATGCTTGTCTTCAAAATGAAGAAACTGAGACGCAATCTGTGTGACTTGCCCAGAGTCATAGTACTAACAAGTATCAAGTAGAATACTAAGAGAAGAGCTCAAGTCAACACAAATATAAAACTAATATAGTCCAGTTATTTTCCTTTTATATTTTATAATATAAGGGTTTCAGTGGTTATTTTCCAAAGCTTGGCATTTGCTACTGTTGGCTTTTATCTGTAAAATGGGATAATACCATAATAAACTCAAATAGTTGTGAGTTTTTTCTCAATTAAATAAGGTTAATTGAGATAGTGCATTTGAAAAGAAATATTACACTACAAAGTGCCCCCTGTTCAAATGGTCATTTTTATTATAAGCTTTGGCTAGGTTTCACAATTCTAGTAGGCAGCTGTGTGTGCTTGCTGATTCCTATTCATAGGAAATGTGTTTGTTTATATCATAGTACATTATCTATTTTTCCTTTTAGTACTCAGTGGTCAAATTTTGAACTGCCATATTAATAAGACTCAAATATATTTGAGAGAGTGGTTAGACTTAATGGTTTCCATAAAGTTGTTTTAATAGTTATTTTTCAACAGATGACAGCTTACATTTGGCCACATCTCTGTGACAGTATGATGATTGAAGTTTTCAGCAGATGGTCTACAAATACTTGGGAAAGCACCCTTTCAATAATAATTGTTGTAAAAAAGACTTTTAGAGTGCCAGAAAAGTCATAGTCTGTATTCCCAAGTCCTTAGCCTATGCTATTATAATTATAATTTAGAAGATTTGGAAGTTTCCATTTCTGGCACTTGGATTTCTTCTGTGAATGAGTGTGTACATCTGCATGAGAGTGAAATAAGCAACACTTTGTTGTCAATTAGAGATTCAACATGGATGTAGCATTAAATCTCCCTTCGTTAGTTGATAGATATTTATAATTTATTCTTGCTGAGTCATTCTATTCTATGCCATGTATAGAAAATGTAACCTTCCATAAAAATCAACTGTCAGAGGCTTATAGGTTTTTTTCTGAAAAGTATTGATTTAAAACGAAAAAAAACTCAGCAAACTCAGAATTGTCAAACATATTTATCAATGTGATGAACTCCCCAACCTTCCAAGTTGTCCTACTTCTACTGTTGACCACCTTGTATGGTTTCTGGAATCAGTAAGTGAGGAATCAGACTGTAAGTGGGGCAGGAAGAAGAGTGGTGAAGCTCTGTGGTGGCATTTGTGATTGTTGCAGTGACAAAGGACACTGATATTTACCGGGTGGAAGCCAGAGTGCCTATACATGCTACACCACAGAGTATAGTTGTGAACAAACAAGAAAACCAAGTGTTTTACATTATCCTTGAATGTCTGACTGGACAACCATCTGAGCCTGGAACCTATCTCTGCTTAAACTTAATGACAGAGTAAGTTTGGCAATACAAGGTATTTTTGGCAGAGTTTTAATATTAATGGAATATTAGCACCCACCCATACTTCTCCTTGATTTTACTATGATGCTATATAAAAGGCTGAAAGATTTCTGATCTTGTGCTCCTGAAGCCTGTATTTTTTGTGCTAAAAAAGTGCAAGCATATAATAAGACTCTTTATTTTGTCTTTTAGTGTAGTAATGGACTGACATTTACTTAATAAAATTTATATATTATAAAACTTACATATTATAAATTTACTTTCCTTTTTTAAAAATGTCCCCCTTCTATTCCAAATAGGGCATATTTTAATTGTGGATATTTTTGAAATTTTGTCTATAGGTAAGTTATGAGACATGAATTTCTGGATTTAAAGAGAATTATAGAATGTTTACTTTAATAAAAGGGCTCTGAAATTGATAAGATGAGAAGCATTACTATAGAAAGTTAAGCAATAACAGACAAATTTCTTACTCATTCCCTTGTGCACACATAATCCAGTGCTGGAACTCATTCAAAGAAAAGAATAGTAGCGTGAGTTTAAGTTTTAATAAGGAATATAGTCTCAATAAATTCTGTATCTTTCTGCTTCTATGGAATTCTTAAACTGATTCTCTTTGGCAAGTTGTATCAGCTAGATCCTCTTTGTGTTTGTCATTACAGATGGCGCTTAATGATTGCTTCAGTTTGAACTACCCTGGTAACCCCTACCCAGGGGACTTGATTGAAGTGTTCCGTCCTGGCTATCAGCACTGGGCTCTGTACTTGGGTGATGGTTATGTTATCAACATAGCACCTGTAGGTGAGATTTATTTCCAGCAGCTACTGAGAACTTTTTAGTTTTCTTGTTATAGGAAGGAATAATGAATGAAATAATAAAGCAAAACAAAACAGAAATAAAATGTAGAAAGTAAATAAATCCGGCTAATCTAGCTTTAGGGAAGGATATTTTAAAATATTTTAAAGTAGCACTGAGGAAATCACAGATGCCAATTCATATTAAATTTTAAAACCTCTGAATTCTTTTAAAACTCAAAATTAAATACCACCTGGGGGAAATATTTATCACAAACATGACAAGTTTCAGTGTCTTTCTGTAACACATAAATAGATTATTTCAATTCATGCAACACCTATTTATAGATTGCATAGAATGTGCTAAATGCTATTCTAGGTGCTAGGGATAGGTAGACATTTCCCTGTGTAGTGGAACTTAGTAGGAGAGAAGGACCATGAGCAAGTTACAGAAATAAATGTTAGAATGGAGATAAGTGATATGGAAAAAAATAACTCTAGGAGGTGGGATGAGAAGTGCTGAGGGCAGGGCGGTGGTGGGTAGGGTGCTGCAATTTTAAATGAAGTGGGAAAATTTCATAAGAAAATGGCATTTGAGGAAAAACTTGAAAGAGGTGAAGAAATCATTCAGATGATATCTGGAGAAAGTATATCCCAGGTTGAGAGGATGGAAAACACCATAATCCCAACAAACAAATGTGTAAAAAATTATGAACAACTTATAAAGAAAGAAAAGCAAAAGCTAATATACCTTTTTAAAAATTTCAACTTTCTAGTCATCAAGGAATTGTAAAATAAAACAAGGATGGATTCAATGCCTGTCTCATTAGCAAAGGGTAAAAAGTGATAACAATATTGATAAGGGTATAGTGAAATGAACATAAAGATATTGTTGATGATAATATAAATTGGTAAAGTCATTCACAAGAACAATTTAACTATTTGTGTTACGACTCTTAATAGTTCGTGTGTTCCGAACCTATAATTGTACTTCTAGGAATCTATTCTGGGTAAACATTTAGAGATGTAAAAAACATTTCGGTATAGGGATATTCACTTTTATTTCATTTATAATGGTTTAAAAATAGACAGTAGTTTATGTTCGATAGGGAAATAGTTAAAGAAATTATGAATTAACTACATAATATTAGGTGTCTAATATTCTTCACTAAGGAATGTTCATTACTTCAATGAGGAAACTACAGAAAGGGTAGAGGTGGTGCTGTCCTCAGAGACGCCTGCATCAAGGGGTTTGATCACGATTAAGACTCTTCATCTCACATGTATATTTTTTCCTATATACTGTCTTTATTCTCTCAGACTGTGTATCCTTTAAAAAGCTAAAATGATGACTGTAAGCTGCTTTAGGCTCTGATTCTTATAGTCATGTAACCCAACGAGACCTGTTGCCTGCCTGTTACAGTTAAAAATCATAGACACAGAGTCTAGTCACTACAGTGTGAGCCCCATGTCTATCACTGAACCATCACTGTGCCCAGGAGAATGGGATACTGTGATTGGCTTAGACAGAGTTGTTTCCAGGAAGAAATGGACAATGGCGGATGAGGTGCTGTGTGGATAAAAATAATAGCGACTATAACAGCCATTGAAAATCTTACTTCTGGATGTGTTTTATTGCATGCAAGATAGTCTTGATATAATATTTATCTGAAAATGTCAAAATAAAATGAAATAGGTCATATGATACCCAGTTTGCAAAAAAAAGTATAGATGTGAATGTACACACATACAAGCACCTATACATGTACTAATAAGTCATAAAAGAAGTACATCAAAATAATATAGTTAGTTATTCTGGGTGGTGGGATAATGTATGGATGATTTCTATTTATTTCTAGTTTGCTTTATTCTGTATTAATGTTTAAAATTGAGCACAAATTTATTTATTAAACATATATGCAAATAACAAATCACCTGGAGTATATTTTCCCTCAAGGTGCCTTTAAAGAGAAGTGTTTATAGGCCTAAATCTTACTATCTTGGGAACTTCTGGGAATTTTAATGAAGTGGTTTTGCAACATTTTAGATACTTGCCTCTTGTTCTAGAATATTGTAAGTGGAAATTGGTAAATAAAATGACATCTATGACTCAGAGCTGTTAGTTTCCAGGGTCCAGTGATTAACACTAAGTAACCCACTACATTCACATTATCTCTGAAGTTTTCACATCTGGAAAATAATTTGAGATTTTGGTTTTGGTTCCTTATTTCCATGTCTTCAACTCCATATTAATGTGGTATAAACATTGAGCTTTGATTCTGTAGATTGAAATTCAATTCCTGAATTAAATTGAAATTCAGTTCTATTTTTAACTACTATGATATTTTCCAAGCTATTTTATCTCTCCAAGCTTCAGTTTTTTTCATTTTTGCATTGGGCTATTAAAAATAAATTTAGTAATTCTAACTAGGATATATATGCTGTAACGACTTGTAATATGTAAGAGCTTTCAGTATGCAAGTTACTGGAAATGCTGCTCCAGTGAGAAAGAGGATAGGCAAAAGAGTAGAGGGAAAAAAGTTTGCTTTTAGTAATTACTAAAAGGAAAAGTTTCTAAATACTGGTTATGTAAACCCTTTCTCTCATGATTTGCCTGAACATGACTAGGTATAACAGTTGTGGGCAGTCTGAGAAGGACCAGGGCCTGGTGTTAGGCCTGTGGCCTGAGGAATCATCTGTCCCACCTCAAATGCTGACATTGGCAGGCCGGGATTCAGAGGCTCCTGGCGTGCTAGGCAAATCCTTCCAACAGAGACAACTAAAGTACAGTGGCACACCACAGGACATTGTAACAAATGGGTAGGACACACATGAGGCCACAATCTGGTGGACCATGCCTACCAGGTTAGCCTTAGGCTCAGAACTTACTTTTTTTTTTACCAAAGTAACTGACAAGAAAAAAGTAGAGACTCAGCTGACCCTTCACCATATAGGGATACCATGCAGGTTTCAGAACAGGAAAAAGTTTTTTTTTTTATATTCCCACTCATACAATATTGGGTATTATTGATAAGTTACAGGATGCGTGCTTAAGGCAGATAAAATTAAGTGACTTTTGGTTTGATAGTACTTTAGGAACAGTGTTAGGGTTACACATCCAGCATTCCTAAAGTTATTGGATGGCTCTGGAGTTCACTGGACTGAGTCACTATACCTTACTAACCAAAATTCTCCTTATAGATGGCAGTCCTGCATCATATGCAAGTGCCAAGTCTATATTCAGCACGAAGGCTCTGGTAAAGATGCAACTCTTGAAGGATGTTGTGGGAAAGGACACATATAGAATAAACAATAAATATGATGAAACATACCCTCCTCTCCCTGTGGAAGAAGTCATACAACGGTCAGAGTTTGTTGTTGGACAGGAGGTGGCATATGACTTATTTGTTAACAACTGTGAGCATTTCGTGACTTTACTTCGCTATGGAGAAAGAGTTTCAGAGCAGGTGAGTTTTTTTTAGGAGATAGAAGTTTCTTACATTGAGAAATTAATAACTGTTAGCTCTGATGAGGTCTCTAGGCCTCAGACAACTGAAAAGAACAAAATAATAACACTGAAGGACAGAGAAAGGAATTGAGTTATCCAAGGTCATGCAGCAAGTTAATGAACAAACTGAGGCTAGAACATGAATATTATGAAATTTGTGCTAGAAGAGACTTGGAATAGAATCAAGACCATAGCTTTCTGTCGGTGTCACTGTTTTCAGTCTTTCTTTTTTTCCCCTATTACTAATCATATAGCAATCTCAAATTAGTAACCTCATATACTGAAAAGAATATGCTGGAAAGAATGTTGACTTGTTTGGTAACTCACTTGCCAAAACCATAGATGGGCATTCTTGGCCATTGGCAGACAGAGGATAATCGATAACATACCTTGATGGCTTGCGAATGTTATCTCTTTCCTTGAATGACTAGTTCCAATGAAATTTTGTGGTTTTAGGTAGATTCTTTGAATCACTGAGCTTCTGGATGACTTTTAATGGATAAGTTGATTATATTTTTTAAGTGCTTTGCAGTTAACAAAATTGCAAAGTAGTAACCAACAAGTCACTACCACTATTTTGTAGTGTGGCAGTTTTCTAACAGCATGCTTAATTTAATTGCCCTTTCCCTACATGTCATCCCACCAATCAAATAAACCAAAGATGTATTAAGGTGATATAAGAGAATGAATATACAAAACTATTATCAAGAGGAAGTCTTCTTTATTCAAAATATATATAAAAGTCTTAATTTCAAAAATTGACAGGTCAAAAACAATTGAATATATTTTAAACTCCAGGGAATTGTTATTTATAAAAACTTCAAAAAGGAGACTAAAATTTGAAGAGTAATAGCATAATGTTTTAATAACTCAAATTTATTAAAGACTTTGAGTATCTTGAAATGATGGATCAGTTACATAAACTTCTGTCCTAAGAAATAAGATTACAATTCTTTTCAACAAAGTTGGAAAATGGAATATAGAACATAATGGAAGGATACATTTGTTTTCATTAGGAAATAATTTAATTGGAAATTCATTCTTATTAGGAAATATATTAACATAATTAATGTTCTGCTCACATGCAACAATGTATCTTCTGAGCTAGAACATAGAGGGCACACACAAATTCTTGGTCACCTGTGCATTGAAAACTAGAAGTATAACTAGGAAGTAGGTTTCATTCATTTTCTTTGTTAATGATAAAGTTATTCACCATTCTTACCAACTGATTATTATTTAGTTAGTTAGTTTTAGAAATGGTGTGGTGTTGATCAAAGGGTACAAAGTTTCAGTTAGTTATTCAAGAAAAATAAGTTCTGGAGATCTACTATACAACATAGGATCTATGATTAATAATACAGTTTTGCATACTTAAAATTTTGCTAACATTTATCTTATGTGAAGTTTTTTTACAACAAAAGGAAAAAATAACAAAACACAACAAAAAGTGAGACCAAAAACCAGTGAAGGGACTAGGAAGAAACTTTTAGAGGTGATAGATGAGTTTATAGCATTGATTTTGATGATGGTTCATGATATACTTATCTCCAAACTCATCAAGTTAATACATTAAATATCTATGGCTTTTTGAATTCTGATAAATCATACTTCAATAAAGTGGTTAAAAATAAGCAATTATTTTAAAAAGTTATTAAATAAAAAAAGTTTAAAGCCATCTTCTTGCTTTGACTTTAGCTTGCAATCCATCATCTTTTTGCCTTTCTTATCCAGACTCAAAACCCATGAAAAATTAATTTTTTTTCAACAAATAGTAAAACTTTTCTCCAGCAGATTCTGATGAAGATAGTATAGTAAGAATCTTCCTAAGCGTTGGTGTTCTCCTAACTTAAACTAGAACTTTATCTTTAATATTTATTTGCTGAGTGATCTTAGGCACACTGTTTTATCAGTTTTCTAATCAATACATTGTTTTAAAGATTATAGAGATATTTAAGGCCTCTTAGCATACTATATTATGTATTCTCTATCCCAATAGATAGCATGCCTATGATGGATATTATTTTTAATTACAGTATTTAGGAATTTTGTTGATTTTTTTGGCATAGTCAATAAAATTTTGAATAAATAGAAACTACAGCAACTGGATTATTTATTACTATCAATAAATAATGTTACTACTAATAATATCTAGTACTAGTTTAGTTTTTAAAATCTCTTTAAACTTCAGAGCCTTGAGCATATAAAAGTTTTCTTGAGAAATGGCTATGTATTTTTCCAGTTTAAAAAATTATAAATGCATAAAAAAGATTAGAAGGGTGGAAGGGCTGTGATTCCACCTTCTTTTCTGCTTTGTGCTTTTCTGTGTTTTTTTAAAAAGTCAGTAGACTTTATTTTCTAGAGCAGTTTTAAGATTCAAGCAAAATTGAGCTTAAAGTACAATTTCTTTCTCTTCCTTGCCTCATGTATATAGCCTTCTTCACTATCAATGTCTTCTATCAGTATGATACATTTTTTGAAAACTGATGAACCAGCACTGGTACATCATTATCAAACAAAGTCCATAGTTTACATTACAGTTTGCTGCTTGTGTTATAACTTTTATGGGTTTTGGACAAATTTATAATGACATGCATCCGCTGTTGTATCATAAAGAATAATTTTCCCGCCCTAGAACTCCTCTATTCTCTACCTGTTCATCCCTCCTTCCCCACAAATTCCTGGCAAACAGTGATTTTTTTTACTGTCTCCATAGTTTTTTTGCCTTTTGCAGAATATCATATAGCTGAAATCATATAGTATATAGCCTTTTGTGATTGGCTTCTTTCACTTAGTAATATGTATTTAATGTTATTATCTCTATACTTCATGGCTTGATAGCTAACTTATCTTTAGCAATGAGTAGAATTCCACTGTATCAATCTATCACAGTTTATCCATTCACCTACTGAAGGGCATCTTGGTTGCTTGCAAGTTTTGGCAATTAAGAAGTAGAGCTCCTATCAACATCTATGTAAAGGCTTTTGTATGGACGTAAGTGTTCAGTTCCTTTGCATAAATATTAAGGAGCATGTTTGCTGGATCATATGGTTAGAATATGTTTAGTTTTGTAAAAAGCTACCAAATTGTCTTCCACAATGACTATACCATTTTGCAGCATTGAGTGGCAGTTCCTATTACTCCACATCCTTGCCAGCATTTGATGTTATCAGTATTTTGAATATTTGCTGTTCTAAGAAGCATACAGTGGTATCTTATTGTTGTTTTAATTTTCAGTTAACTAATTACATATGCTGTTAAGCATCTTTTTATATACTTATATGCATATAATCTTTGGTGATATGTCTTTTCATCTTTTGCCCATTTTTAAATTGGGTTGTTTATTTTCCTGTTGTTAAATTTTAAGAGTTCTTTGTATGTTTTGGATAACAGTCATATATCAGGTTTGTCTTTCGCAAATGTTTTCTCCTAGTCTGTGGCTTTTCTGTATTTTACAAAATTTCTAAAAACAACATTTTTTACTATTATAGTCCAAACAAGTTATTAAAATGCATCTCTGTTTGTTTAAGATGGCCCACACCCTAGAATAGTCTTGAACAAGATTCATATAAACACATCCTGATGGTGTTTCAGTGCATATGACTGCAGGCTTAAAGTCTCAGGAAAAAGCATTTTGGTAAACCCTGCAGTCTTCTGTGTCCCCGCTACACTGATGTCTAGATGCAGCCACTCCAGATTTGGCTATATTTCACTGGGCATGTACAGATCCTCAGAATGAGGAGCCAATTGCAGTCCACACACAGAAATCCTTATAAAGGATAAAGTATGCAGTCAGATTTGGTGATCTTCTAATCCTAAATAAGCTGTGAATTAAAAAAACTCTTATGCATGCTGGTTCACCAAGAACATCCTGAGACATTATAATCTTGCAGGTCAGATTACATTACAGGTAACTCTAAGGGATTGTCCCAATTACATAAGATTTTGTTATCTAGGATGAGATTTGAAATAAGTTAACATTTGTGATTTGGGAAACTGCATGCACTGCTGAAAGTGGCTTTTAGTGGTATCTGGCCTGTGCTATATCAGGGGACTTTGGCTTGAGATCAGGTTGCCTATCCCCTCACCAGTCCTCTAAAATTTATGAGATTTCTGTAACATCTCATGTTTCTAGTGGCTGAAAGATAGCCAGTCAGTTAGGTCTGCATCTAACTGGGGCCACCCTAACCTCAGGATCCTGCCGTTTTCCCAGGGTTGTATCCTGCTATCATTTGATGCCTCTGTTTAAAGACAAATATCACCTTCCTATTTTTTTCATTGTCCCATTTCCCTATATCAGACCTTCCTGGGATCTCACTATATGCCTGGAATTGATCTAGGGCTGGGGTTGTCATATAATCCTCAATCCTTGTCTAATTATTGACTCTGTCCCATCTTTGGGATTTTATCTTATGTTCTGCACTTCCTGCCTCTTCCTCCTCTTCCCACTCCCATAAGCTATATGGGTAGCTCTGTGCTGCAGAAATTCTGATTGCTGGGAAATAGTTTAGGTAGTGATTAATTTAATATAACCAAATACATAAAAGTTAAAATTATAAACTAAAACAGGATCTGTCAGTGCTAAAGTCAAGTTGCTTGCCAGTGCCATTCTCCCTGGCAAGGTGGGGTTGGAGCAGAGGAGGCAGGGAGTCACAATTACAGGCCTTGCCCCTGCCGACCATGGGATGGTATGGCAGAGTGAACACATGCTGCAAACACGTGGAACAAATACTGTCATGTGCCTCTCTCCTGGCCCTGGCCCTTGCTGCCTATTCCTAATCGGGAAGCTGCAGTTAGAGAGGTAGCATTATGTTGCAGTAATATGTGGGTGGCAGGCTCTGTGGTGGAAGCTGTGGGTTAGATAGAGGACATGCTCAAATACGAGCTGGGTCAGGCTTTTCAGCTCTGGACTGATCCCCAGAGTCATTTGGGGAAATTGTTTTTCTTTATTTGAAAGCCTTGATTCCTAAATTCCAGAGGGAACAAATGTTTTCAGAATATCTGATAACTCTGAAGTGTCTGAATGTGACCTTTGGGTCATAAAATTGCACTCAAGCCCATTTAGATGGAAGGTAATACTAGTTGAGTGCCATGGAAATCATGAATATTCATTAGATCCCTCATCATGATGATGATTAATACCCTTAAAGTTATAAATGCCTGAACTCCTTTGTGGACAACTGATCTTGAGAGTGGTTTATTTTATTTTGTCTACATGAGAAATTAATTTTTGACATGATACTTGACATCGACATTGACTTTTCTTGAATTTCATCAGAATAGAAATTGTGTCTACTAAATAAGAACTTATATGTATTTAGATCAGATAACATCTCTGAATTATTTTGCTAATAGACATTACTTTAAAAAAACATACATATGTGCACATATACACACGATACCCTGGTCTAGACCCAACAAAGCCAAAGTGTGCATTTAAGGGTTAGGGGGCCAAATGAGGGAGACTCTGGGTTTGGAAGGCTTAATCTGTCTCTAAACATCATGGTGGTATGACCTCAGGAAAATCACTTATAGTATCCCAAGTTTTGTAAAGTAGGTAGTGCAAATTCTCTCACTAGTGCACTGTGATGATTCATGAGGACTGTGTTCATAATGAGTTTATAGACTGCCAGGGTTCTTTTGAAATGTAAGGAATATATACCTTTGTGTATTTATCTACATCTTTGATGTAATTGTAAAAATTATAAATTTATTTCTTTATATTCATACAGAATTTTAATTTTATATTGAACTTTAAATGTATCCATTGTACATTAAAACAAGTCTTCAGCTTAGGAAACAAGCTAAAGCTTCATTTAGGACACTGAGATGTCTTTAGAATAAGATGTGTTTTTTGTTGTTTCTTGTTTCCTTATAGGCCAGCCGAGCAATAAGTACCATTGGGTTTGTGACAGCTGCTGTTGGTGCGTTCTCGTTCCTGGGCTTGTTTCCAAAAGGAAAAGAGCAAACTACTGTTAACAATTTACTGAAAAGATATTGGAATTGAAGGAATTTGTGAGGAGAGAAGAAAAAACCCTGGAATGAATACTTACTTTCAATGCATCATTATTGTTCCAAATTCCAATGATGGATGGCAGGCTGTTTAATAAACTGCTTACTGGTATTATCTTATCATTTTTTTCTCTACTAGCACAGATTTGCTATGTCAGCTTGAACAAAAAGCAGTAGCCTTTTGAGTAAGCCAGCAGAGGATCTTAACAAAATCACCTCACATTTTATCCTCTATAAACATTATTTTCCTTTTCCCAGAGGGTGACTGTTTTGCTGGAGGGAGGTAAAACCATTTATATATGGTTTTGAAAGAAATTTTAAATACTTTGGAGCCAGCCAAGCCTTGGTTCCAGCCCAGGTGCTGCTACTTAGTCTGCCACAAAACTTGAGCAGAGTATTTTACTCCTCAGAATCAGTCTGATCTATAAAATAAAATGCCTACTTTACAGAGCTGATATGAAAATTTAAAAATATAAAGCAGCCCCAAAATGGTAATTAATACCCTATTTATTTATTATATCAAAGGGTAATCCCAAATGCATGCAAACCAAGAGTGAGAGTTGTAAAGGATGAGAGTTATATAACACAGGGTAGGTACTCTGATGTTGAAAACATACACACACACACCACACTCACACTCTCACAAATTCCAAGTTTATGATGTTAAAATTCTCTAAATAAAACAGATGCTGATGATCAACTTAAAAAAAAAGAAATTTTAGGAGCCCCAAATTATTAGCATTGACATCAAAATTCATATTCTTCATGTTGGAAAAGAAACCGGAAGATTTAACAGTTTGATTAGGCTGTGTGAGAAGTTTGATTTAGAAGTCGTTTAGGGGATGCATCCCTCTCGTAGTGTATCTATGTAGATGTGGGTGGGTGGGAAGAGGAAAGACTGTTTGCTCCAGAGTTTCAGTTTCAGTGATTTCCGTGGGATTTACTTGTCAGGAGTATGTGACAAGCTATAATTTCTACAGTGTTACATTATTCCCTTTGGATTTTGAAGTCTTTCAAGGGTTTGACCTTTTAACCTTGGCAAGAGATCATTCAGTGTTGGTTTTATGTGCCATATTTAGAAAATAATGTCTCATACTACTTTTTTTTGAGTTGGAGTCTCACTTCGTCGCCCAGACTGGAGTGCAGTGGCTGCTCCCGGCCACCGCAGCCTCGCCTGCTGGGCTCCAGTGATCCTTCCGCCTCAGCCTTTCGAGTAGCCGGAATTACAGGCACACGCTACCACGCCTGGCTGATTTTTTTATTTATTGTAGAGATGAGGTCTCGTTGCCCAGGCGGGTCTCGAACCCGCGGGCTCAGGCAATCCACTCACCTCAAGCCTCCCAAAGGCGCGAGATTACAGGCTGAGCCACCGAGCCCGACTTCATACTACTTTTTAAGACTTGCTGCAAGTCAAGGAGTGTCATGATTTTATTCTTGCATTTTATTGGCTATGTGTTGGATTAAAGAAATTACTTTTTAATGCCATTCCAGTGTAATTCTTGGTGGCAGTAGGTGGGCAAAGGTGGGGTGCAGGTGTCTGTACCCTAGGATTACATCAGACATTGTGGTATTACCCTGTAAATCACACCACCAGCTAGTGACCTCTGTCTCATACTTTCATCAAAAGCATAGCATTAAATAAAGGAAAAGTTCAAGTAAATACTGGGCAAAGGTGCAATGAAGAAACTAGGAATATGGTAGATAAAGTAACTAAGCTCGGTGAAAGTCTTGGAGCTATTACACTGAGATTTAACCCAGGACCAGAAATACTCCACAAGCTAATTGCAGGGTTAATAGTAATGATAAGGAAGGGGTTGTGTGCTATAACACACTCTCTTCCTTTCTTGTCCCCTGACGAATGCCCTGTCTTTATTATGGGACCAACTCAGTCTCTGGATAACCCCCAAACTCTCTTCCTCTCCTGGTCTTCTGGGGAGGTGTGAGTGTCTCCTTCCAAGTAGGAGGATGTCTACAGAGGGCAAATCTTAAACCAAAGCAGGAGAGGTGGACGTGGAAGAATTATAGTACCAACCAGTGGAAGAGGGAACTCCCAAGATCCTCAAGTTAAACCTTCCTATAGAATTCTGGATGTCTCCACTCCAGAAGACTGTGTAGGGTAATGCACTTTTAAATTAAATTTATTGATTCATTTTCCCACTAGTAGTGTTTGAGGGTGCAGTAGGTTTCACCCTAGAGGTAAGCTCACAAAGTCATCAGTTTCCCATAAAATGGCCACTCTTCATGGGCAGCTTATGACTGTCCAGTTTGTTTTTTTATCCATGATTATTTGATATGTGACCATGTTTATTGTGCTTTTATCAATTTCCCCCAAATTATTAAACCTTTCTCTGAGCATGTTTTTAGCAGTCAGCTTTATCATTTTCAAAAAAAAAATTGTGTAATGAAGATCATTACCCACCAGATACCTAATAGGTTGTTGAAAAAAACTAAAAAAAAAAAAAAGGAAAAAAATGCTACGCATTTTTTAAAAATCCATATTCTTTAAAAAAACATTTTTATGCTATTTAAATGTCATAGTGTATCAATCAAATCTTCATTCTAAAAGCCAAATTACTAAATACAGATGTCAACTCAAGGAACCTGAGCTATCATATTTTTCTAGGTTGACATTTCTTAATCATAAGCTAAAAATCTCTTATTTTTAAATTTTTTGTCTTCGTCATTAGTAACCATTAAATTAGACACGTTTTGAAAATTATCACTCTCCAAAGAGCTGTGAACACAAGAAATTTTAAAAAGCAAACAAAATGTAATCATAGGGTTTTTTTAAATAGGAGTTTGCACATATGCTGCTGGTTTGTATAACAATGTTTATAATGTGATTTACTACATAGAAAATTGCATGTTGAAACAGTTGTCCTAAAGATTTCAGAATTGTAATCTCAAGGCTATCTTACATTGGATTCATTTATCATGGTATTAGGCACATAATTGGGACACATAGAGTTGTACTGGTTAGCTAATTGCCTATGATCTATTAAATTAGCAAAATTAGATATTTTTCATTATGAGAGCCTAGTAGGTAATTTTAAATGTTCACTAGAAATTTCTTTCAAGTTCACAGGGTGACTATACACACACACACACACACATATGCATATATGGATAGTCATATATGCAGTCATATATAGTATATATAATATATATTATATACTACATGTAATATTAATACAATTATATAATAATAGATAATTATATTTATTAGATATATATTAAAAGTACTATTGTAGCCGGGCTCGGTGGCTCAGTCTGTAATCCCGTGCCTTTGGGAGGCTGAGGTGAGTGGATTGCCTGAGCCCGCGAGTTCGAGACCCGCCTGGGCAGTGAGACCTCATCTCTACAATAAATCAAAAAATCAGCCGGGCGTGGTAGCACATGCCTGTAATTCTGGCTACTTGGAAGACTGAGGCGGAAGGATCGCCGGAGCCC